GTAACTGAGGACGCCGTTGAGCGGCGAGGCCCCGGGGGGCGCCGAGGCGGGGGCCGGGGACGAGGCGGCGGCGGCGGCCGCCAGGTCTTTGGCGCGGAGGCTGTGCACGTCGATGACGGTGGAGTAGAGGTCCCGCAGGTTGATGATCTTGGTCTTCCTGTCCCGATTCTCGTGCAGCACGGCGTTGGCGCAGATGAAGAGGAAGATGCCGATGCCCATGATGAGGGGCCCGAAGACCTTGAGCTTGTCCGAGTGCAGGTAGCCGGAGAACACGCGCGAGAAGAAACCCACAGACGTGGGGGAGGACGAGGAAGACGAGGGGGCGGCGGCCTGCGCGGGAGGCGTGCTTCTGGGCGCGCCCCCCGAACTGGAGTTGACACCCCCCTGAGACTCCAGCTGGCTCCGGGACCGGTTTCTGCTGCCGCTGCTGCTGTTGGCGGCGGTCGGGGTGCGGTGGCCGCTGCCCGAAGGTGGGAACTGCTTACCCCCCTCCCGATGGGCCCCGTTGGCCTTGGGCCAGTAGCCCACCACCGCCATGGCTATGCCCACCAGCAGCACCAGGATCCCGCAGAGGGCGATGAGCCCCGAGACGGAGCAGAGCTTCAGCTTGCCTTTCACCACTACCACGTCGTTCTTGCGCCTCTTCTTTGCTTTCCGCTTGCGCTTGGGGACCTGGCTCGGGGGGCGGAGGGGATCCTGCTTTCTGGCGGAAATCCTCAACAGGCCGCCGGTGGCGATCATGGTGAGCCCGCGGAGTGCGGGGCTAGCCCCTGGGGTGGAGGCGCCTGCTGCCCACTAGCTGTTCCGCCACCGCCTCCTGCGCAAAGCAGAGGAAGACAGTCAGAGGGGGGAGGCTTGGCTGCAGCAACATCCCACGCGCCGCAATTGCCCCGCTCCCGGATCCCACGCCATGTGTGCCCCCCACGCACGAACTGAAGGACAGTATAGAGAGACGGGAGTGGGGAGATGGATTAGGGAAGGGAAGCGTTGTTGCAGTGACTGATGACGGTAGGTGCTGAGGCGGTTGGAGAGAACGCCCTCCTCAGCCTCCCTACAGCCTCACCCCCGCCCACACACACGGTGGGTAATAGTCCAGCACCTTTCATTTCACACCCTCCCGGCTGGCAGCAAAGGCGTTCTTCTGACCCTTTGTAACAACTCAAAGTGGGGACTGGAAGTAGTGGCTGAGGACTTTCCTGGCAAGAGCCTTTCCCTTTGTCCCGCTGGACTCTGACGATTTCCCAAGGGAGGATTTGGGCTAGGGTTTCAAATCCCTAAGCCAAGGAATTCGTCACTGTGGGCCCAAGAGTCACTGAAACGGTCACCAAGTGATTATTTTATAACGACAAAAGGAATTCATTTCACTCGATAAAAAGTAAAGGTCATACACTGGCAAGCGCACGGTTTATTGACTTCAGATAATTAATAGAGTTCATTGCTGGGAAAACACCGTAAAGATATTTCAATACTCTTGACAATAAATCCCTTCACAAAGTCCTCTCCCACCTAGAAGAGCTCCTGCAGCTAAAGGCAAGCAGCCTCCACTCACAGCCTTTTCCTCACCTCTACTCTGCAACATCTGGACAGCTTCTTGGGGTGGAATATTTAGTTTTAGGTAACTGGTTATGTAACCGAGCTCTTCCTTCTAGCCTCCTCTCCTCCCTCAGAGGAACTCCCTTAAAGGTATCATGTGCTTGATCTCATCAGGGAATTTGAGAAGTCCCCTGGAATCTCCAAGAGAAAGCTCTTTTTCTCATGTGGGAAAATTACAGTCTTAAAAAGAAAAATCACTCTGCCATAATAGCTTTCTGGCCCCTTATTAATGTGCCAATTAATGTGTACTTTTCAGAATGCCGGTATTCAAATGAGTAGGCAATTAAGTAGGTACAGGGATCAACACGTTAATGATTAGCAGAATGACATTTCTCCAAGTAAAAGCTGTTGTCCTCATTGTTTTCTCACGAGGTCATTTTTTGGAACGGAGGGACTACCCTATAGAAAGTTTAATTGTTTATAATGAAGTCAGGTAAGTAAATGCACACACAGATGCGTATCTGTGGTGCCTGTCAGCTTCTAAATATTTCAGTCCTGCTATATTCCCAGAGTAAAATATTTCTGTTCCATTGGTTGTCTTCCCTTCTCTAATAGAAATGCTAAAATTAAGGGCATTGTATGAACCCGAATGGCTTAGATACCACTCACCAGCCTTTGGTATTTTATTTTTTATAAAATAACTCATGTTTTGGATAAATTATCCCTTGAAAATGTAGGGTTACTTAGGGAGAATGTTGCTTTTAATTGGCGCTTGAGTGAAGAGCTTTGGCCCTCAATTCCCTCCATTATATCAATATAGGCAGGATCTTTCCGTCACCAGCTGAAAAGCAAGCAGTAATCAGCTCTTTACAGGGTCTGAAAAGCAGTATCTCCTTGGAATTTAGTTGGTTTTCAATAAAAAGAAACAGTAGGTAGGTCAGAGAGGAGGGTTAGTGGACAGCATCTATCTATCAACCTTTAACATGTTGTCTTAAGGAGCCGCACCATTAAGTACAAGCAGATTTGTTTTTTAAAAAAACAACAACGGTAGCTTACTGTCGGTCCTTCATCACCCCCCTTAAAAAATCAGCACTTTTGCTAGGCAGTTGTAGCATAGAGATGGCTGTCTTTAGTGACCCCTAGACTCCAGCATCTTTGATGTAGTCTTCCGGAGATCTGTGGTTATCTTAAGAAGGCGTTAGGAGCCAGACATTTAGAAGCAAACCTAGACTCGGTTGGCCAGGAGGAAGTGCTAGTATTGTCCGGGTATTCACAGGGTGCACCAGGATGCTGGGTGTCTCCTCGTGTTTGCCACATGTGTTTCTCCTCAGCAAGGCAGCTTTGGCTCTGGATAGAATGTAAGCAAGGCTGGAATGGCTTCCAACAGTCGTTTACAGAAGATCTTTAAAATTAGTTCAATAGCTAGTAATTAACTCCCTAGTTTATCATTCCTTCAGCTCTGTCGGCAGAAGGCTGAACGCCTTTTTAATCTATCACCATTTGACATGGAATACTAACAAAAGGTCAGGTGCCCTGGAAGACCCACCTTTGAGGCTGTTCTTCCTGTCTAACGAAGGAAAACAAACTTAGCCATCGCGGGTGGCTGCCCTTGGAGTTTACAGCCTGGTGCTGGTCTTTCTGCGGTTAAGCAATGGAGGATGGGGAAGCAAAGGAGGGATGTCTAAAAATACAACTGCTTCCAAGAGAGACATTCAAGTTCTCCGCTCGTGATGGATGGAGCCCCATTCGGTGTCTGAGGCTGAGCCAGGAGCGCCCTGCCTTGCCCGGGACCCCTCGGAGGTTCCTCGCCCCTCTCGTCCTTCCTCGGCCGGCCGGGCAGTGAACCCCTGCCCTTGTTTCTGGTCTGCTTATTTATCTTGGAGTCACATGAGTGCAGCAGCTGGGAGTGCGCCTCTGGAAAGAAAACAAGCGGCGAAGTGAGGGCGATCCTGAACTCGCTTTTTCTGGGCAGCGCATCCCGTGTAGCCCGCACAGGCAAAGGACTCCCCGCAGCCCAGCTCGGGGCCGAGGCTGGAGGGCAGGCGGGGTGGGGAGGAGAGGTTGGGGGGCTGAGGACTGACAGCTTGCTCAAAATGGCAGCACTACAGGCAAACAATATCGCTCACTTACCCAGGGAGACTGGGCGAGCTCGGGGCCGGCGACCGGGCGCTCCGGCGACACAAAGGAACCATGGAGAAACTTTTTCCGCCCGAGCCGACGGCGGGGCGCGGGGCCGGCGCCGCGGGGCCCTCCCTCCGG